TTTTATTTTCTTTTATAGACAGCTTTACAAACGTATATTATTAGTGTACATAATCTATTTAAAAAGGTATAGTCAATTTTGGATTTCCGTTTTTTCCTATTTTCCGGAGGTATATAGATATTCGATTTCATATGGCGGTTTATTGATAATGTTCCTCACATAAGATGACAATGTCGGGCATTTTTAATGTTCGTTTAATTTATGACAGCCATTTTCCGTGTAGTGATCGGATCTTATATTATTTTCTATTCCTTTAAAATGGATTTACGTTTATCTGACAGATTATGTGTTAAAAACAAAATTAATAGCGCGGACGAATTCCGATGATGACTTTTGACTTGATGACTGCGGCATAAAATATGGTAAAGCTACCTTACCTTACCTTACCTTATGGTAAAGGCAAGGGCCTTTAAGCACCATTTATAAGTGGTACAAAACATTCTGAAGGACGAGAAGATGCAAATGACAAAAAGCGTGTCGGACGCCCGAGCCTGTCAACAACAGACAAAAACATTTATATAAATAACAAAAAACTGAATTGGTCAATAGTCGAATCAGTTGAAGTAGCTGAGAATCTAAACATATCGATGGGCTCGTGCCATTCGATTGATATTAATGATTTGGGCATAAGACGGATCGCCACGAAATTCGTGTTATATTTTCAACTGCTTATGCGCAAATTTTTTTGCCAAAAGCAACACATCAATGATGCCGCAGCTACCCGTATTCCCTTGATCTGGCCCCCTGTGCCTTTTCCTGTTCCTAAAATCGAAAAGGCCGACTAACACCACGACGAAGGCGATAAAAACGGCATCGAAGGAGGAGCTGAACAAGATCACATAATATAATGTTTTTTAATGCTTCGAGGATTGGAAAAAAACGTTTGCATACATGTATTATAACTGAAATAAATAATTTTGAAGGGGACAAAATAGCTACTCATGAATAAATTAAAACAACTATAAAAATATAAATTTCGCGATACTTTTTGAACAGCCCTCGTATGTACAGCATAACTTCAAAGTGACCACAGGATCATCTTTACCCGTGGCAGTGTCAAGTTGTTTAAGAGCTAGTTCACACATTGCAGAATCCGCGCGGATGTATTCCGCGTGGTTCCATCCCGTGTGCTTAGCCATGAGCTAGGGTTTAGCTCTAGTTCAGACATGGCGGAATCCGCGCGGAAGATAATCACGCGGGTAGACCACGTAGAGCCTATTAAAATGGTAGGATACTAGAACGTTCATACTACTCCGTGCGGACCATGTATCCGTGCTCCTCCCGGTTTTGAACCACGTGGCTTACATCCACACGGATCACATCATGTGTGAACTAGAATATTAATAATAATATAATAATGTGCGTTCTCCTCCGTGAGAACGCGACGGGGATTGTAGCGGGTGTGTACATACGTACGGTACGCTCCGTGACGCAGCAATTTTGTACAAAAACGTGTCCACGTGACCTAATCGAAAATTCCTAAGACGAAAACAATAAAATTGGAAAGGTTGTTGACTTTCAGTATATTGGACGAAACATAGAAATATTTTATTTTATTGTATTATAATAATAAGTATCTATCTAGGACGTCCAGGTTGCAGCTTTATTGCGAAGAAAATGCATTTTTTTACAATAGATGTTGCTAGATGCGCATTAATGTGATTCATGTAAGTTGATTTTTCTGAGAGATAAACTTTTTAATGTAATATAATTTGTCCTGTTTATGTACGATAGCGCAATAAATAAATATTGTATTCTAACACATAAATGATAGTACTTTTATACTGATAATTAAAGCAATTCGTGCAAAATTATTCCCTAACCATTCCAAAATATCAAAAATGCACAACGTTAATATTCAAGTTATCACTTCTGCCGGCACTCCCGGAGTGCAAACCGTCGTTTTTTTATTATTAAAAAGTACCCTATGGCGTTCTCCAGGTTATAAACTAGGTTAATGCTTAACAAATTTCATCAGATTCCGTTCAGCGTTTAGCGTGATTGAGTAATAAACGCTTTATTCCAGATTTGGTTTTCAGGTGAATTATTAGGCAACAAGTACACTAAGAATAAGTATTCATTAGTGGCATTTTAGAGTAAAAAACTCGTATAGTATACAATTTTCGACACTATCTATTTTTGTGAACGCATTGTCGAAAGTCTGGCACCAGCCCAGCTTTGATCTGTGACACTGCCAACGTCAACAGAGGTTAGTGTCCCAAAAAAAAAACTGTTGAACGAAAGACCAGATTCTAATTAACCGCAAAACAAATTTAAGGCTGTACATTAACACAATTTAATTTTTACCAACCTTTCAGGTAAGAAAGGTTTTCTAGTATTCCGTCTTTCTGATGTTATAGTATGGCATAGGTAGGGTCCACGACGCCACTAGTTATACGTTTTAGTGGTATTAAGGAAACTTTCAAATGGTAGACTTACGCCTTTAATCTAGTGATTTTAAACATATCGACTCATTTTGAGGAACTTAGTTACTGGCTGGCCATAGATCGTAAGGTAAAACCCGCAGCCCATACACGATCTATTATTTTAAATAAAATTAGCAGCCGCCCGCGACTTCATCGTTAACTTTAGTTTTTTTGAGAATCTCTCACGAACCTAATTTTTTTCGGAATATAATAAACAAATATTTCCAAGTCACACCAATTAGCCTAGCCCCAAAGTAAGCACTGTAGGCTTGTGATATAGGATACTAAGGTAACGGATAGAATACCTAATCCAGCCATAAGTTCTGTTACAAATGAAAATGCAGTTTTTTTATGAAGTTACGTAATATTATTACAATTTATTAAAAATATTTTATTCGAAATGACCACCTTTTGCTTTTATACAGGCCTTTAATATATTTGGCCATGAATCTATGGTTTTACGCACTGTTTCCAAGGGAAATTTCGCCACTGCTTGCTTAAGATTTTTTAAGAAACTCAATGTCACCGTGTCTTTTAGAGCAGGCCATGCCCTGTTAAACTGACTATAATTTGAAGTCTTATGTGAGGAGTTTACACTCTAAAAACGATTGTCTTTGAACAGACAGACAAACAAAATCAAGTCCGACGAAGTCGGTTACAAGTAGAGATACCTCAGGAATTGTTCAAAGCAAACAAAGGTTCCATGTCACACATTTTATCATCTAACATCAGCGATATTCATCATATATTTTATTATGTATTTCTGGAAACACACAATTTCAAAAATATCACACACTAGTCATCGTTTTGTAAATATGTATTATATTTCCATCTGTACTGAAAATCACTATTCCAGAGTGCTGGACACTTACCGGCATTTCTCTATATTCTGTTATTTATTTGTTTTCATTAATTTTGCTCCGTTTTTATCTATTTTTAGTTTATATATTTTATTGACATTTGTGACAACTTAATGTTTTTTATCCGTTGCCATGGCTAAAAGTGAAAGGTGCGCAGATGAGGTTGCGCACAAAAACGTAACGAAGTCGTTAATGTCATTCATCGATAGATTTTACTCCTCACATTTTTCTCATACCTGGCCCCTTATATATGCAAATCGATTCTTAAGGAGGAGTTCAAAAATAACTCAACTTCCTGCAATTACTTAAAGTTACTCAAAAAAGGCTTGAAAGTTGGATCTTTAGTTTTTAGTAGGATTTACTCAAACGTTCAACTTCAATACCAAAATACAAAAAGGAGTTTCCATAGCTTCTGGCTAAAATTAAAAACTCCGAATGCTTTTAAACTACCAAAAATTATAAAAAAAATGTACTTAATCAGCCTATTTTTGTTGTAATTGGCTTTTGAAGGCGGATAGGCTAAAAATCACTGAAACACGATTAAAGCATTAGACATTATTTTATCTACTTGTTTGGTGACGTCACTAGTTGGACCACCCTGTATATTATTATTATCTAATATATAAGATTCTCGTGACACGGTGTGCGTAATTGAACTACTCCGAAACAGCTTGACCGAATTCGTGAAATTTTATATGCATATTCAGTAGATCTGAGAATAGGACAAATCTATTTTTCATCCCCCTAAATGTACAGGATGGTCCACACTTATTTTTTTTTACAAAATAATTGTTTTTCTTTTATTATACATCATACAAAAATACATACAACCCTAAATTTTCGTCCTTCTACCACCAACCCCTATTTTTTATGGCAGTACGAAGTTCGCTGGGATAGCTAGTTATTTATATATTTTAGTATTAAACATCCATGACTGGAATATAAATGCTTGTGTATTCATCACAAAAATATCTGCCCCCACCGGGATTCTAACCCGCGACCTCTGGAGTAGGCGACACCTTGAAACCCGGCGAACAAACCACTCGGCCACGGAGGTCGGAATAAAAGTATCCTATGTCTCAATCGAGGTAATAAACTATATGTGTGCCAAATTTATCTCAGAAGCCAAATGCGTTAATGAAATTTGGTTTAGTTTAGTTTTGAGCTGCTATTCTATAAATTAAAATCTCACAGTCGAACTTCGACTGTCCTACCTCTATTATCGGGCCTGATAAAGGGTTTGGGTTACATGCATTTGTATCCGTTATTTCTCTACTCTTTTGCATCCGCGCAGCTTTTGGAGGCCCTGCCATGGACAATCATTATACAAAGACGAGAATCCACGTGTGCTTGCTCTTCAAGATGCTTCGATTATGCTTATACAAATAACACCGCCGTCTTTGTTTTGTACGCACCTACCTAGTACCGACTCAAAGATATTAAGTACCTACATAATATATTTTAATATCTTTGTGTCTCTTAATTAAAACAATTCTCATCATTCAGTAATTATTTTATTTGGTACACGATTTTAGTCAACAATTAATATTTAATAAGCAGTTGTTTTTGCTTTTCTTAATTTCCTATTTCGTTAATCTCAAAACAACACTCGCAAGGAAATTGTGAATATTTGGAAGTTACGAACATTGAAAACCAGTGAGAACCTACCTTCTTCCAATATTTGATTGTTTCCTTCTACTGTCATAGCAACATGCGAAATCCTGAAGACGAAATCGAACGTTGTTTACACGTTGCCATAGTGACAGTGTCGTGAATTTGCATGTTGTGCTGTACAGATAGAAGGAATAAAATAATTTCGAATGTTACCTTAAACGGATCAATAGAAGCGGTAATTCAAGCTGATCACGCGATATGGCCGAGTCTAAGGTATGCCTCACCCTATCCAGCCTTTCAATTTAATTAATGAACCAGCCTTACGTGACATGCAAACAGACAACCTTGCGACAACTCGTAAAGGGCGAATGCCATGGTACACGAATACCTTTCGTGGTACTTTTTATCATTAATGTCTGGAGATTACATGCGCTACGCTTCACATTCGAGCTAAGTGCTTTGTAATTTGCATTTTTTATTCCCATTTCTGTGTTACTCACTGCTGTAGTTTTGTTATTGTGGACTAACGATGTTTTCGTGATGTTTTCTTTATTTAAAAGTAGTGGCCCGCCCTCGATTCGCTTCGGTGTACAACTGAAGTGTAGACTATAGTTTTGGTTCTCAGGCTTGTATTTTACACAATGACATTCTTCTTATACCTAATTACAATAGGAACGCGCCACCAGGCCTCCCACCCGGCAGCGTCGGAACCGCTATGTCCCCGCATTTTAAAATCTGTAATATTTTCGAAAATATTAATTTAAATTACATGCTTTAACCCTAGATTCATAAACATACTTGGGAGATACACTATTCATAAACATTCGCCTCTCAGACGTATATATTATTTCGATGATATGAGATCTCTACAATAAAATAATTCAATAAAATACATTTGAATTTTAAAAGTTGTTTATTAATTAATAGTAAAATGAAACAGAAATGATGAAAAAAAATTATTCTGTGCAATCAACACATAACATTCCTCGGTGATCCATACACATAAACTTTTTGCATTGGGTACAAAAGAACCTTGTCATTCGACGTTTTTTATAATTGCAGAAAGCACAATTTTTTTCTGTGATCCACTGGGTTGTGGTTGATCAGTGGACGAAGTTTCGCCAAGTACTTCTGCAATTTTCCTTTTTAGGCATCGCTTCAAAGTTGGCATTATTACCCCCTACAACCTCACAAAATTTACCTCTTTATAATATTAGTATAGATAAAATAAAATAGGCAAATATCTCATTTCATCTTTATAAACTAATAATAATAATAAATATTGACTTTGAAATATACTCCAGTTCTCGAATATATCACGGCTTCAAATAAACACACCTGATCTACAATAGTAACACTATTCATAAACATTCGTCTGTCGGACTATCTAATTACTATAACTCTTTTTACACATGTGCGCCCTGGCGTGTGACTGGCGCAAAACTAATTTATTAATGAACCAGGAAGGTTCTAAGGAGTTGAACTTTCTATTTCTTTCACTCTAAAAGTTATAAGCGTTTACGTGATTTTTGCGGTCCGTGAGACGAATGTTTATGAATCTAGGGTTAAAGGGCCAAATTGATCTATATTAAATACACAATGTATTTAAGGTTCTTAATTGGTTAAGGATGAATGTTATATTGCTGAAATACTGTAGTACTTATAATACTGTAGTACATTATTTTGATCTATCTCGTAGGGTTCCAGCGTTTGCAATGTAAGCGCAAAAAATGTGTTTATTTAAGACCTTAAATTAAAGACCTATAAAATTATCAGTGTTTCTCTACTATTTTATGCATGTATTATACATATAAACCTTCCTCTTGAATCACTATCTATTAGAAAAAAACCGCATAAAAATCCGTTGCGTTGTTTTAAAGATAAGAAAGCATACATAGGGACATAGGGACAGACAGCGGGAAGGTGGCGGGAAGCGACTTTGCTTTATACTATGTAGTGATTATTGAACCCTCATACATAGCGCATTCAATTTCAATGCTCATTTTAATGTTGAGTGCTAGTTTTCGTTTCTAATATTTTTTGACAGTCGTATTTTTACCGTAATACTTACGTTACTTTAATAATATTAAGATAGAATGTAAAAATACATAGAAAATGTGTATTAAATCAATATTTTTTATAAATGATTTTTGCAGTGAGTTCTTTTGCGTGGTGTTTATAGAAAATTGTGTAATCATTTGAATCATTTTTAAAATTAAAATTTTATAAAGCAAATGATTAACAATGTCTCGTAAATAATTTCTTTTGAATCCTTTGAAATTTTTCCTCTGTAATGTAAGGTAAGGTCGATAGAGAAAAAAAATAATGCCACTAGAAGCGTATAGGTATGGTAGAATCAGGCTTAAACCAGCAAGATGAGAATCTATGGTACACGATTACTCCATAGAGCAGGGATAATAAATTTCTTTAACAATGCCTTTTTTGCAAGAGCTGTGCGAGCCGACATAAAATCGTATAATGCGATTCAACTAAGAATAGGACCGACTCGGCGCCATATTTTGACGTCATAGCTGTCATTTCAAACCAAATAGGTAGAGTGAGCAAAAAAAATGTTGCTATTTTATAAAACTTATTTTCTAAGATTAAGTGAGACAAAACATCAGATTTTTTAATAAATTTAATTGACTAAGGTTGAAAAAGAACACAACCGATTTTTAATAGTATTTCTTTATTAAGTCTGTGTGAAAAAAACTTTTATCAGAATCTAGCTCTTCAATTTCGCTCATCTCTGCGTTACCGCCGGAGAAGTTATGAATAATCATGCAGGTCACATACGAACATGCATCCTATAAGTAGACGAAAGTTTTAAATCGAGTTTATGAACGCATCATAAAGTGACATTTGGTGACGATTTAGGTTATCAACCATTCATAGCCAAAGCTCAATAAATGAGAAAAAAAAACAACTAATATTAATTATCAACATTTGCTATTGTTTGTTTAAAAATGTTTGGTTGTTATTCTAGAATCAGCTGAGTGCTAAATAAGTATTCCGAGTTTTTTTTTGCAAACCATACTTTTCAAGCGACATTTGACAAATAGAAGTCATTGGCTTTCCTATTCTTATTTGAATCGCATTATAAAAGATTAACACATGAAGCGATCATGAGGACAAGGAAAGAAAACACAATATATGTTTATAACTTCATTTGCTTTTCATTATTTGTTTGTGCAGCAGTAATAAAAATACACAAGTAAAATAAAATACACAAGTGCAATTCTCAACTTTGTACCTATGCGTTTCATAATAAAACAGTAACCTGGCAGATCGACGGCTGTGTAAAGTTTTATAGAATTTTCTTTAACACACATTCATCTTTTTCGTTTTATACAGGGTACCCAAAAACCCAAACATAAATCCAAGACAGTTATACATAGCGAAGAAGATAGTTCCAAAGGATCGAGTGGTAAGATTCTTAATATAATAAGATTTCGTAACAAACTTAGCACTAGTTATACAGAAAAAACAATTTATTAGCCTCTGCTGCTGAACTAGGCAAGGCCTGTATTTCAGCATTCAGCGCCACAAACCCCCACAGGCATGAGAATATTAAACTAGACTAAATACATATCTCATAAAGGAAAAGGTCAATAGATAGCGATTCATTTTAAAAGCAAGGCATCTATGAGTATAATATATAAATTAATATGTATTGTATAAAATGATGTATGGGTGTATGTGTGTGTGTGTATATATAAACACAATCTAAAATTCGTTGATCCAGTTTAACTTGTTTCAATAACTTCTGTCAATTCATTTGAGGAAGTGAGCTCCACCGAACAAGAAGACTTATAAAAACTATTTAAAAAGTCCAAGCTTCACTTTCCAGGAGCATTTAATTCGCGCCTGAAAGTTGAGGTTCTGTGAGGGCAGCTGGTATTAAATTTTGGCTTCGACTGTTGCTATATTCATAACCCGTAACACTTAGCTTAGCAGCTGGTTAAGTGCAAGTGTCTGAGCTTGATAATTATTTAACTTTCTTGGTATAGGTAACGTTTTCATATTGTCGCTAACAATTCATTTTGTATAAAGCTTGATAAGTGCTTACTTTAGAAATTCATTCTCTGTATAGCAATTTAAGTGAAAACTATTGTCAAAATTAGTTTTAGGTTTAGAGAATCGCGCCAAAATGTGACAAAGCTAAAAGGCTTGCCATAAGCTATGACGCTGTTAATTGTCAATTAAAAACCATTACCTAGATGTTTATCTTCACCATTAAATCCATCAGGCATTGATCAAGATGATGAAGACCAAATAGGTTACGGTGTTGCTACAGCGGAAGTTACAGTTGACCGAGAAGTGTACCTGCAGGCGCACAGAGATCTCACGTTTGATCTGCGGCAACTGCAGATGAAAAATAACATACTTCATCGCCGCTTAGCCGACTACTATAAGTATGTTTAATTTCACTTTAGTATTTTAAATGATAAGATTGTATGTTGAGACAAGGCAGTTCTTTGACAAAAGCTATCAGCAAAAATTTATGTAGCTAAATTTCAGCGTATATACTTTCTTTAGTGTTGGTATTTCGGACACAAAATATTTTTTTATATCGGTTATCAACGACAATTCCTTTTAGCTTGAAGTTAAAGTTATATTTTCTTATACAATCTGTATGGCAATGCTGATCTGGTGCATTTCACGTCTGTCTTACATTTTAAATCAAAAAGGAAGCGTCGAATGCTTTGATTTTTACCAACATACTTAGAATACATATTTTGTATTTGGCACATTTTTTGTGAATCATTATCATGGATATTATTATATTTACAGATTCTAAGTTATAACAATAAAATATACTATGAAATACTATTAGTAAGCTTTGACTATATTAAACAGATTGTTATGCTTTAACAATTTTACAAAAAGGGTTTGAAACATCTGAAAGTACAAAGTCACTTACCTTAAATTACAGGGAACACACGTAGTTATCCTCTTAAAAAACCACTTGAAATCACGTATCGTGCTGTACACTACCGTAGTTTGATGTCAACTAGTTTTGAATAAAGTGTAAACCAGTGAAATCTTTAAAAAAAAATGTGATTTTTACACATGGCTGATGGCACAAATACGTGCCATCAACTTCTATAGCGTATGAGACACCAGTTGTGTCATGGAAAAAAAAATTATAACCTGAGCGAAAAGTTTTCAAAAATAGGTACAGCAGCGAATCGATTAACCGTTCATGCTTATTTTATTTCCTCAATAATCTGCAGCCAGCCCCTCTAGCATGACCAACAAAACGGGATATGATAAAGCGATATATCGGCATTAACTGTCAGACTACTATGGAGTTTGACAGTAGTCTGACAGTTAATGTCGATATATCGCTTTAACATATCCCGTTTCGGTGGTCATGCTAGAGGGGCAGGAGATTGTAAGGAATCTCCTTTGAAAGGACCTTTGTATAGCACGTGATGTGCTTAAATGTCATGTCACGCATTATGAATAGCTAGTAGTGCGGAGGGTCGTGTAGGCGTACTTATATTCGAAGAAGCTAATTTTGCAACAATAGATTTCTTTGAATCTCTGAAGTAGCAGTACATATACCTACAACTTCAGTAAATATAATACATCTATATAATATATAATCAGTGGACCGCTATAACTTTACCACTCGACTGGAGAAGTAGTCTTCGAAGTGAAGTCTAAGTGAATAATATAATTTGTAGTGGGTATTGTGTTCCCACAATGATAAACTTAGAGGCATAGTGTGTACGAAATTTTGGTTCCCATAGGCAAAGCGAGCGTAGCCAGTTAGTGCAGTAATTCTTCCTATAGCGAAAACTTCAGGTAAGGTGGAATAATTTGGTGTGCCTTGTATTTTATAATTTTAATTTATAAAACCACCAAATTACAACCCGAGCACGATAACTTTGCAGAATGAATAGTTAGAACATCATTTATAAATGTCTTAAATGTCATGCACGAACCTTTCATTTGAAGAACATTTTTTGTAATGTTTTGTTTGTGTAGTGAAAAGAACAGTCAAAGCTGCGGTCGGAGAAGTTATTTATAAAAAAATTAGTCATTATAAGTCTGCAAAAGAACAAATGGAGTTGGTTCTTAAGCAAATAGAGCAATGTTTTGAAGAAATCCTAACACCAACAAGTTTCAATAAATTTCTTGATACTAGTTTGTTTCTTTATTAGATAATAAGCTATTATTTAAATTGTGGACGAACAATTATTTTGTAGCATTTATTTATCCATTGTTCATAAAAAAATATTAATTTGTCGTAGTAATTGTATTACCAACAATTTAACATTACACTATTTGAAAATCGTTTTCTTATAAGGTACTTTATCTGCAGATGATCATATAATAATTGGGAATGCTTTGCAGAGTCGACCATTTAAGAGAAATAAACGAGGTTGAGTATGAAGCGAGATATATTAAAAATTTAGAAGGAGAGGTTGAATATCAAGAAAAATAGGTTAACGAGGACATTTATATGAAGGAATTAAAGTTTTGGATTTGGATGAAAGTATCAGGGCTAGTTATTTAAACTATAATGAGAACTGCCATGTGCAAAGTTTTAATTTTTGCTGCTGTCTTGCCACTGTAGACTTATCGTGGTTCGACTGTAGTAATTAATTTTAAACACTTTACCGCCCTACTCAGTAACGTCAGCTAATTTATGTTTCATAGATATTTGTACCATAACTGTGCGAAAGCAATAGAATAACTCAGTATGTGACTTTGACAAACATACATTTTTATCACTGAGTGGTCTAAATGACTACGAATAACGCAACTATTTTTTAGTTTATTTTCATTCTTCGACTATACGATAACATTTTCAACTTCTTCCGAATACCTACAACAAAAACTTTTTACAAAATCACAGAAAATAACAAGATTCTTCACTTCACTTTTCACGAAAGGGTAACGAAAGTGAAGCTAACAATACGAAAAGATTCTTTTGTTAGAGCTCAGTAAAAATGTCATAAATCACTGAGTGAGTGAGGCTTGACTCATTTAACTTTTTTGACATGATTAATAAAATTAGATCCAAGCAATTATTTTCCTGTTGAAAATCTTATTTTCAGTATACCTATAATATTGATAAAATGTATTCTTGATTAGTTTTCACTTTTTCAAAATTAAACTTTCATATTTAATAGTGGAACCAGGTTTTACGTTTCATGTACAGTTTCGGATATCACGTTCTGTCTCCGATAGTGGAAGTCGAGCAACTTTCACATTGGCCAATCAAAGGGTGGATCAAATATGTATTATATAGAGGTCCCACGTGCTTCAACAGGCACCTTTTAAAGTCTTGGTTCATTGTGCACCTGTAGATGCAAATGGAAGAAACCACTACTTACATCACGCCACTAGGGTTGCACTTTGACAAGCCCCCCAGTTCAATAGAATGTTGGGCAGGGCTGTCCAATCAGCAATGAAATGGCGTCGTAGATCATGGTTTGGCCTCTTAAATTAGTACATTAATTAATAACTAATATTATAAGGTAAATAAGTAAAGTAAGTAGGTATTTACCTTTATAGTAGGATTACTTAATTATTAACTGGAGAACCACGAATCATACGCTTCAACAGAATTACCTGCCTAGGGCAGTTTGTATTTTGCAGTGCAAACAACATTATTCAAACAGGTTGTGCTCCGGGGTATGTTGGGTCAAGTGTTAAAATATCTTTTGTGTATAAATGACAAGTAAATAATTCCAAAGTGTTAAAATGCCCAATTGTCATAACATCCAGGAGTCAAAACAATTGTTTTTAAAAGTCAAATTGTCATAATGTCCAGTTATCTAAACATCCAATCAACATCCAACATTAGAATGTCCAGTTGTCATAATATCTAGGTGTCAAAACAACAAATTGCTACAATGTCTAATTGCTATAATGTCATGTTACCAAAACAACAAATTGTTAAAAACTTCATTAATTTTGCACTAGATACCTACTGATGAAAAAAAAACGATGTACAAAAGTGCATCAGTAAATATAAGCCTATTTTGTTTTTCAGTAAAATGCCTGTGGAATACAACTTAAGTGACAAAATTATAAGGGTTCAGTTTTTTCCAATTTAGCTAAGGAACCCTTATACCACAAGTACCTAAAAACACACTTGTAATAACAGTTTTATCACATCTTCCCGGCTAGCACGGTCACGTTTATTCACCGGCATAAATTCAATTTCAAAATTATTTATCTTTAAGACAACATAAAGTCCTAAAGCATTCGTCCCGTATAAGCAAATATGAAAGGGGCGTATGCTTTATATCGGCAATAAACGTGATTGTGCTACCCGGTCTGGACTTATGACTTCTTGGATATTCAGAGACTTGTACAGATTGACTAACCGTCTTTATAACATCTGGACATTATGAGTTCTTGGATATTCAGAGACTTGTACACATTGACTAACGATCTTTATAATATCTGGACATAATGACTTCTTGGATATTCAGAAACTGGTACACATTGACTAACGGTCTTTATAACTTCTGGACATTATGACTTCTTGGACATTCAGAGACTTTTACACATTGACTAACGGTCTTTATAACATTTGGACATTATGACTTCTTGGACATTCAGATACTTGTACATATTAACTAACGGGCTTTATAACATTACACTTGAGATTATACTTATTTCACTTGCCTAAAAATATAATTTAAATAAATGCGCTCAAAAAGTGGGTATCTCGATATATTCATACATGTTTGGAATAAACAGGCCCATTGGTTCTTGCTTTTACAAAATACCTCGACCCACCAACAGAGGAAACATCTGTTGGTGGGTCGAGGTATTTTGTCATACTGAAGGATGATTATTCTAATAACAGGAGGGTGGTCTTTGTCAAAACAAAAGATGAGTTAAAACATTGCAGTGATAATTACATAAAGAAAAAAAATGGGTTTAATGGAAGGTTACTTTATAAACCACAAAGACATAGCTTTCCGGTGGTACCGCGAAAGATACCCTGATAGAACCGTACCTTCTCGATATGTGTTTAAAAGGTTAGAAATTTAGGACGTTTTGATATGTGCTTACAGAAACCACAGCAGCGGATGATAAACGTCAACGATGATGAACTAAACATGTTAACTTATTGAGGAATATCCGATTTTATATTACTTTGTTAAATAATTTTAAATAAAATGTTAAATTAAATTACTTTTCTTTTATTTAAGATGCTATGCTATTGAACAAAAAGTAATACTTATGATTTACCCTTTCGATGGTTATCTTTAAATATGTGGTGTTTTTTTTTCGAAAGGAGATTGCTCAGCTTCCATACATATTTGGCCTAAAGACCAATAATCATGAAAAATTCTTTCCTAGATTCGAAATTATATATAAATTACTGTAGAAACGAATATTATTGACGGACACCCCTGAGAACTTCTATAAACCATATGCACTGAACATATTAAAATAATAAAAAACAAATAAGTTGTATAGTAAACCAGGGAAATCAAGCCAAGTACCGAAATTATGGATTAGATTCAGGTATATAGAGCATGTAGATTAACAGATAGTTGCCTGTTTTTAAAGTTAATGCATAAGAGTAACTTTTAAAATCAGGTGTCATTTCCGGTTATAGTAAGGTACTCTGTGACAGAAACTGTGTGATGATTGTGAATGAGCCACAGATTAGAGAGAATTTTTAAACTCTCGTTAACCAAAGAAAGCTAAGAGATTTAATAGCCATATATTCAGTAGCTTCATTATTTATGTTATGTTTTTAAGATAACCATATTTTAGATTTTTAGTTATTACACCTTATAATTTTATTTATTTATTAATTTATAGTCAGGGATAGGCCCATAGATAGATACCTTAAAGTCTAACATATTATAATGTGTTTATGGAGGTGTTTGGCGAAAAATGTATGGCAATACACTTTATGATGTCGCCTACCATCTATAATAATTGTCTGAGCACATTTGCATCTAGTGAAAATAATAATATAGTTGTGGATATTAATACCACAGCACAGTGTAATAAAAAAAAATGATTTATTTTATCGATCTTTACAAAATAGATTTGTTTTTATGTTAAATAAACAACTTCGATCAGTCTTTGGCTGAATGTTACTACACCCATAGCCATTAAAAACGATTCGTATGTTTTCCAAACCGGTAAAATAAAAGTCCTTTTTAAAGTAAATATATTAAACAAAGGTGTCTGTTGAAATCTAATAACTGTAAATTAAATTATAAATTACGCCAAGAATTACCGTGTATGTCAATATTTTTTGTGCATTTGGGCCAATTTGAGCAATCTCCTTTCACGAGTTTCAATCTCAGTTGTAGCAGGCGATTTTTTTTTAAAATCTGTGAATGCAGTTCTTGTTATTATTGAAAATAAAATGATGTCTTCTTTCAGTAAAAGATCCTATCTTCAATATTTAATAAACTTTCCATCCGTGTGAGGTAGCCGGGGGACGCCATGTATATCAAGTGATTATAACTGGGGCCTTTTTATAAGGAGAAATAAAAAAAATAAGTGTATGTTACCTTATCTGAAGGGAGTTATTTAGCGCCATCTCTTCGCATTGTAGGTAACCCACAATGCGCTGCCTTGCAGCTTAAGGCTAGGAAAGTTTCGACGCGGCGAATAGGGCCGTGGTAGCATAATGGTCAGTGCGTTCACCCGGATTGCGAAAGGTGCGGGTTCGAGTCCCGTCCGCTGCCTGGACCGCGTGGATTTTTTTCTAGTAAACTTTTCTTTAGATTTAAACATCTAGCAGTTAAATGCTTAAAAATAAATAAAAACATAATGATAATATTGTTAAATTAAAAAGTTAAATATATGGGTTGAAAAGTTCACCTGTTCAGTAATGCAGATTGAAGATGAAAACGCAGATGCAAGCTCAATCTATGCATGACGTCACATTAAGCGATACGGCAGAGCACCAATCGGATGCGATTTTGCATTTTTTTCTAGTCCTCATTTTAAACTTTTCAAAATTGTGTAGTTCGATATTCGCTAACGCATTAAAAACATTTCGTGAAGACCACGTTCATTGTTTTTTACGATAAAGTCCTTCAACCACATCTGAACGCGAACATAACCTAAAACTTGAAATTAAAAGCTTAATACAGTAAGAAATAAATAAGGCTTTGTAAGATCAAAGTATGTCAGGTCATGTCTCTATAAAAATTATAATGGCACGGATAAAATGTTTGTATTAATTTATGTCGATGATCTATTAATTATTGTTTGACACAAATGAACATGATATTACAAAACTTAAATTAGGACTAAATAAAGAATTTAAGATGAGTGATCTAGGATTAATTTCAGATTTCTTAGGAATAAATGTAAAGCAAGGTTTGCAAAATGGCACATCTCTATTGTCACAGAAACAATATTTAGAAAATGTAATAAAGAGATTTAGAATAGAAAATTTTAAAGCATGATGTCGCCTATGGATCTCAATGTTAATAGTTAGATATTTGATTATGATGTGAAATGTATAAAAAAAAGATTGAATGAATTAGTAACAATGAAGTAGTAGACAAATAATTGGCTGTCTTATGTATGCTGTTTCAGGCAGTAGGCCTGACCTTAGTTTTGCTATTTCTATGTTAAGTAGATTTCAGAAGTGTGCCAACTGTGCATTATACAGTTACAGTACATTGTGTTATTAGTACATTGCGTTATGTAAATCATGCTATTTATTACAATTTAGTTTTTAAATGTTATGACACAATGTTGCAAGATTTTAAGCCCAAAGAGATATAAAGTCTGCTTCAGTTTACTTATTTATTTGTGCAAATTGTTTAATTGTATGGTGTTCTAAGAAACAATCGTCTGTGAGTCTTTTCTAAACAAAAAGGCTTTCCTTATCAAAATGTTTGTCCAGTCAATTTGTTTTGTGACAATCAGTCAGTAATGTTAAATGCAAGTACAGAGTCTATCAAACGCTTGAAGCATGTAGATATTAGATTTCAAATCTGTCAAACATTGAATTAAAGAAAATAAGATCTTTATTAAGTACATTTGCACTTCAAAACAACCAGCCGATATCTAAACTAAATCCCTAAGTAGATAATCAATTTTGAAATGTTTATAAAAAAATTATGTGGGGTAAGAGATATAAAATAAAAGTATGTTTGTACTGATTTTTTTTAATGTATAACATTAAGAGGGGGTGTTAAATATATGTGCAATGTTAATACATTTGTCGAATACACATTTCTAAGGCTGGCAACATTGTTAATCGGTGAGTAGGTAATTTTTTTTCTTTCAATCTGTCGGATTTTTGCTTGTCACGAGGTCCTTAGTAAAAGTCCTGAGTAATAAAACTGCGTTCTTTATTCGAAATTGAAAATCGATATCTTAAAAACTATTTGACAAAAACGAGTCGCTTATGAAATATATGTTCTTTAGTATACTTATTTTCATATGAACATGTGCTACAGAGCTCCAAGTGAGATTAAATTTTGGCCAGATGAATCAGTCGAAGAATGGAATTTCGAAGAACTACCCAACAAATTTAAGTTTTTCAAATCTTGAATCTGAATTCCTCTTCGCTTATCAAATGTTTTCATTTTTCAATAAGAATTATAGTCTACACCAAAGCAAAGCCAGAGCGAGCCACTATTAGTACTTGAATATAGGCAATTATTATATCAATGAGCTTAACTAAATGTTCTTTTTGTAAATGGCTCGTCCGGAAATTGTACCCAGTTCGCCGGATGTGGTTAAGCTAGCTCTATACTAGACTCGCATGATTGTACGAATATACTTTCATGTTGTATTCGAAACATAAGAACTACGTATTATGCTGCTTTTTTTATAGTTCCCTTACACATGAAAGAAAGAAAGAAAATACATTTAAGACGATAAAACTCTACCCGGTAAAATTCGTACCGCTTACAATATTTTGTGCCCTTATTTTCTCAACGTTTTAACCTTCCCTGGACTACAACAAATATTTTAAAACCAAAATAGCTAAATTGGCTCAGCCGTTCTCGTGTTTTAGCGAGACAAACGAACCACAATTGATTTTTATATATATATATATATATATAGATTTGTACAGTTCTATTCGTACATTACACTATATTTAACAAATTTAATGTAGTTTCGTCTAGTCACGTATAGATAGAGAGTTTATTTATTTATTATTATCTTTTTATTCATCTAAAATTAGAAGACAGAATCGTTACGATTTCACCAACCAATCGTAATTAAACTAGGTACGTATTCAAACATTATTGAAAATAGAATTTCGAATTTCTATCTTAAACTCAGAAGTAATATATCAAACACTGAATTATACCGTGTTTTAAATAGAAACTACTTTGAACACGCTCAAACAAATAAAACAAAATAACAGCTGTGTTTGCATTGGCTGTTACCATTCAAATTGATCGTACATTGCTCAAAAGTATCGTAGAATTACAAGAAGCAAATAATTTAGTTAAGATAAATTGTTTAGTAATTGTAGTTACTTATATTCGCGATACTAAAATTTATGACACAAAGATGTTAAATAAAGGAATATTTATTTTATTGCAGAAAGAGAAAATTAGAACATGTATTAAAACCATTGGAACAATCCGCTGATTTGGAAGACAAATACCAACAGATGTTATTTGCTTATGAAGAATTAAAAGAAAAAGAAGAGAGAGAAGTAGCGGATGTAAGAATTATTATTAAGTAATAATTATTGACCCAGTTTGTCATATTTTCATGTAATTTCTCATTATTTTTATCCGTATCTGCTATTTGTTAATTCCATATAGAGCATGATATACTACAATATACTGTTGTCAAATTAACATGAAGCATATGTATGAATAGCTTTGTGAAGTGCTACCCTAAAATAGGGGCCAATAAAGTATACTATACGCATAAGACATCGAAGTTACCGGAGAGAGCGTACAAACGAGTTTAGTTGCAAGTTACCCTTGTATAATATAGCTCATAATACATGAATTTTCATTTTCATTTCTTTTTAATTTTCATTTCATCATCAGCATCATCAGCCTATTAATGTCCCCACTGCTGGGTACAGGCGTTCCCTATGGATGGTATAGGAAAATTGGGCAATGAGTCATCCACGGGGGCCCAGTGCGGATTGGTGGGTGGGTGGGTGCGGACTGCAGATGCAGCCGGGACCAACGGCTTAACGTGGCTTTCGAAGCACGGAGGGGAGCTCGGGATTGTAAATTTTTGGTCACTCATCCAATGACCGACCACAGCGAAAGTTGCTTAACTACAACGACCGCAGCCGAAAGTGATAACCACTTGCGCCATCGAGCTTCTCAATTAACAAATTTTCATTTAGAGTGTACGAAAGTTTGTAATTAAATTAATAAAATAGAAACGATGCTTCAAGCATCTTAGTGAATGTAAAATTGTATAAGTAATTGATGTGTGTTGTTGAGAAATGATCGAGCGCAACTTGTTGTCTCGTAGCAATTTCTTATGGCCTGGCTACAATTTTTTGAGAAAAGGAAAACTGTTACTTTATCTGATTTTAGATAAGGGAGAAAGTAAGCGGCGTGGAAGCGCAATACGTCGATCGCTTAGAAAAAGCGGAGCAAAAGTTTGACAGTCTTCAAGATGTGGAGCGAGAAACCGGCATCGGGCTCATTTACTCGAAGAAAGGAAAACCAATTGCTGATAAGGTATGATTGACTAAGACATCTAGCTTATAAGAAATACACGCAACACGAATCAATGGCTTGAAACTAGTAAACAAGCTTAGAGCTAGACTAAAGCATTTCTATTTAATGTAATATTCGCACGAATAGCATAAGTCACCTACTAACTACGCTATAGAATTCGTTTAGAAAATAATTGATGGGGTTTAATGAAACCATGAAGCAAGTGAAACTTTGAAACATAGTGATGGCTTATAAAAATTGGAAAAAAAAAACTTTCTCGGCTGAGAATTCAACCCGGTCGCCCGCGTGGCTTGCGAGCTTTCAACCACTGTACCACCAATGTTTGTTGACAAGGTCTGTTTTTTTTATAACACAAAGATTTAATGCGACATGCTTAAATGTGATGATACAGTAAAAACATCACTTTAAAAAACTGAAAGTTTACAATTCATTACCACGTCCAAGAATAAAAAAAAATACTAAATAATAGATAAATAAAGTGAAAAAACCAGAAAATGTTAGAGCAAATTCTAATCACACCTATTTACACACAGACTGTACAGAGGTTCCTCACACTTCAACGACGTAAAAACGAGCAATCCTCAGCCTTATGTTTGAGGTACATAAGGGTCAGAAATGCTGTAGCAGAGCTGGAGGCTGTCGTACGCAAATTAGAAATGCTCGGACCCGGCTTATATGTAGCACAATACCAACAGCTACATATAGACAATCAGAATTATATGAATAAAATTGAAGGTAAGTAAGTTGATACATTTTAACTACTGTATATATAAAAGGCAACCGTTACTGACTCACCGATTTATCAACGCACAGCTCAAACCACTAAATGTATGGTGCTGAAATTTGCACACATAAGTATAGATATTATGATAAAGGCGTGTGCTAGGAAGGGATTTACCGAAACTAACTCCCTAAAGGGTTAAACTGCGGGATCAAAGTTTGTAGGGAGCACCAAGATCATGAGATTAATCCTTTAACTAAATAAGCAATTTTTCTACGCAGAAAAAGTTGCGGACATCCACTAGTATTAATAATAATTGGAGATAAGCTGAATGGATAAGCTTCAATAACGACATTTCATGTTACGCCTTTTTTATTCTTATCAACCTACGAAAAAAACAGAGGTGGTTATCAATTGGACGCGTATATTATTTTTATATATGAAAAGGTATAATATCGTCACATCTACGGCAAACGGACTCTGCTTTTTTAGTAAAAATCTATAATAAAAAACTGCACATAATGGGGTACTTAACACCAGGGAAAAGTCACGCAATTTAATCAATGACGGTTCTAAAAGTCTGATTGTTTGAATCTGCATTTTATGTTTATACGTCCAAAGTAAAATTACCAAATAAATATACAATATTTTGGCATAGTAGGTTTTATGAAATTCAAATTCGTAAGTTTACTATGGAAGTGACGATATACTCAGAAGTAAGTCCCATATAAACTTGGAAAAAAAAATTTCAGACTAAGGGGTTGCTAAGACTATTTTTTAATTTAGGGATCTGTTTGTGAAATATTAAACCTTAAAGTGCAATTTTTTTGTTTGAGAAAGTCCACCAAACCCCTCTAAAAGCTAAAAAGGCTTGAAAAAATCAGAAAAAAATCATTATAATGGATTACAGTGCTTTTTATAAAATTTCAAAGAAAATTATGACGGTTAAGAGAGATCAGTTAGTTTAAGCAAAAAACTGAAAACACAAAATAATAAACTCTTTTTATCTTTAGTCAAATTAATATTTGGAGTCGGCGCCATCGCCAACCCAAATAGTAAATGAGAACTCAGATCTATCAAATATGCACGGCAATTTTCTGCTGTTCAGTTTTCTCGGCGGTTTAATATATTTGCTAAAAGTTTTTATTTGTTAATAGAATCAACAGTTCAAGACGCTGATCGTGACGGAGCCACAATTATGAATTTACAAAAATAAAATTAATATTAAGGGAACACTTGGCGTCTATAGGATTTTACATGGATTTCACTTCTATGCAAAAAAGTGTTGTTTGCATGCAGTGAGTAAGTCTTCAGGATCAGGGCTTCACAGGTAGATAATGGGTTCAGTGTAGGCAAAGCACTAGTCGGATATTCAATACCTATGAAAAATACTGAGTTCTCCTTTCTGGACCTGTAGGCCTATTCGCTAACTGCTTTTGACAGAAAGTGATAATCACTGAGCTATTTAGTAATCATTTACTGCTTTATTATAACGCCATTAAGATACTTGTTCCAAAAATCATCGATAGATATGCAATTTTCACTTTAGTTACACACTGTAAATGTCAATAAAGTTTGCGAATATAATGGCAGGTGCCATGCGATGGCCGTAGCACCCACCCCTATGCATTTCTAAGTTATTTTGCCAACTTTTTATTGACACCGTATCAAATTAGTCTATTAGAAATTAACACAGCTCTTATATTTCATTGCAAAAGATTCATTCTTTCTGAATGGATGGAATGGACAAACTCTGTCATGTGAATCATAATTTATAATTATAGTTATTAACGGGATTGTTACCATGTACCTTGTTTTTATGAGTCTCCGAAAAAAAAACAAGGTACATGGTAACAATCCCGTTAATAGCTATAATGTTAGTGACCATGAAAGTTTAAAACAATATAATTTATAATGTCTGAAAGAGATCACATTTAAGGGGCTTTTGGAATAGAAGTCTTCCCCTGTGGTGTTTTTATGGTTGTTTATCCGAAATAGATAAATGTTTCGGATAAAGAACCATTTGCATTGTAAATTCCGGAGAAGGATAATGTATTTGTAAAATGCTGATGACGCAAATAGGCGATAACATTGTTATCGATTAGGATCCGCAAAAATAAAATGATTCTAGACAGGACCATTTTCCTCCTATTCTTAATTAACCTGATACTATTATGAGCTTTAATACGAAACCATAAAGAACAATTTTGTGTGTAAGCCTCAGTTGGTATAAAAGCAGTATTTGCTGTTAACGGAAGAAAAACGAGCAAGTAAAATGTGCTTTCTAGACAGTCTGCGAGGCTCTTTGATGATTCCTTTGCTCTAGGTAGTTTTTTTATTTGAAGTTCCTAACGAGTTTTCACATTTAATTAAGGACTGGGAATAGAAGCATGGAAACAAATTCACAAAACAGAAGTTACATGTGGCATCAAATGTTATCGTATACTACCAATTCAAATCTATACAGACCTCATTTCCATGCCATCGTGCTGGCATCATTTTCTGTATCTTTATTTAGTCTCGTCTTTGGAAGGAATGACAATAGTAAATTATTATAAACAAAGTACCTGAAAGTTATCAGAAATTCCTTTTTTGAATCGAGTGTGATTTTTTCATGCAGAACCTACACATACAGTACATAAAATGACACACAGGGAGTGATAAAAATACGTGACTGCGCCGGCTGCACACTTTTCAGAGCACATAATAAAGGCATATCAATATCAGTTTTGTATTTGGCCAACATCTGAGATCCGACCAATGTCAAAGTGACATATTTTTTTGAGTGTATGTGTGTGTGCTTTTTTTACTTCCAAGTGCACCTTTGATTTCCTGCCAACCTCACAATGGATGTATGGTTTTAAGGACTGTATGTTAAAAATAAATAGTATATAATAATAGTGTAGTATAAACAAATGACATAGTATATATGTATATATTAATTCATTCTCTTTTTAAAGCAATGAACGATATTATAATGATACTTGATTAAATTGGTCTTCGTCTATCTGTAACTAGGACAACTTTTTGAGTTTGCAGCATAGGTTACAAAACGAGGGAAATATTTTTTAAACTTGGAAATAATTAACAATGGTTAAGAATGGCAGATATTTAGGTTAATGTTAAATAAACATCTAAGATGGCATAAATGCATAAACGAAATTGCTATAAAATCAAATTACTAAAGTTGCTAAAGGTTTTGGTCGGCCCTGGTTGGGGTGTACATCCTAAGCAAAAGAGTTTTTATTTATAAATCCTTGGTCTGGAGTAGGCTTGATTATGGTAGTTTTTTTACGACAACAGCTCAAAAACTCAACTTTTTAAATTAAATAGAATCTAAAATCAGGCCCTTCGAATTGTAGGTGGCTTTATAAGGAGCACTCCTGTACATACAATGGAGAGTGAATTATGTATTCAACCATTATTCATTAGAAAGATATATTTAGCTTATAAGCATTGTATTAAAAGCATGTCCTGGACAAAATATGACACCGTTAGAATACTGAACGATTTTTAAATGCTTTGTTATTAACGAGGCTTACTGGTAATCCAAAAAAGAAACCCTAGCTTGTGGTCACTTATAATGAATGAAATGAGGATAATATCAACACCTCAAGTCCATTAGAAATTTTTAAAATGCCCATTTGGACTTCATAGGTAAATAATAGCCGCCATAAGTAGCCGTGTAGTGCCGGCCTAGAATAGAATAGCACTACCCCCTCTCATCCCGTGGGTGTCGTAAGAGGCGACTAAGGGAAACTTCACCTAAAGAGATGGGCAGCAGCATCTCCTTATGCGAACCGGTATACTGCGATCGCCAACCCGCCTGCCAAGCGTGGCGATTATGGCAAACCCCCCCCCCCCCCATATGAATCGAAACAACACAAAACGGCCCCTAGTCCCCGGCGGCCCCGCTATTCCTGGCTACGGTAGCGGCCACGGTAACGGCGGGGCAGGGGGTGCGAAGAATCCCCGGGTAGGACACGGCTACCACAACAACCGAATACTGGCCCTGGCAACCTACAACACGCGCACATTGAGGACCGATGCCAGAGAGATGATCCAAGATGACAGAGCTGGAAGAAGCTATCTGCAAGTTACACTGGGATGTCATCGGGTTATCTGAAGTCCGAAGAGACGGAGAGGACACGATAACTCTGGACTCCGGTAACTTGCTGTACTTCCGTGAGGGCGACCAACAGTCCGTAGGTGGTGTCGGTTTTATCGTCCACAAGTCCCTCGTCAACAACGTGCTGACCATCGGTAGTGTTTCGAGTAGAGTAGCGTACTTGGTACTCAGAATATCATCACGATATTCGATGACTGTCATCCAAGTCTACGCTCCAACCTCGAAACACACCGATGACGAAGTGGAGTCTATGTATGAGGAGATCTCTCAGGCCATGCATAGCCACAAAACTCACTACACGATTGTGATGGGGGATTTCAATGCAAAGTTGGGGAAACGTTGCGGCGACGAGCTGAGAGTGGGGCAATTTGGATTTGGGGAACGGAACGACAGGGGCCGGATGCTGGCGGACTTTATGGAGAGGGAGAACCTCTATATGATGAACTCCTTTAAAACCCGCCGCACCAAATTAAAGAAACTCTCCGCATACACACTCGAACTCATGGATAGGAGACATGAAATGCGACTACAGGACTCAGCGGATGCCCTTCGTTATAGACAGCTTAATAGACAGATCTCGAAGTCGTTGACGAGCGACCTTCGCCACTTTAATACCGAGCGTATTAAAGAGGCCATAGCCATAGATTTTGTTCTTCAAAAAGGGCGATAAGACCCTACTGAAGAACTACAGACCCATCTCGCTTCTGAGCCATATCTACAAGCTGTTTTCGAGGGTCATTACGAATCGTCTCGCTCGCAGGCTCGACGACTTCCAGCCTCCTGAACAAGCCGGTTTCCGAAAAGGCTTTAGTACCATAGACTACATCCATACGCTGCGGCAGATTATACAGAAGACCGAAGAGTATAATCGGCCACTTTGCTTAGCGTTTGTGGACTATGAGAAGGCCTTCGATTCGATCGAGACCTGGGCGGTGCTGCAGTCTCTCCAGAGGTGCCAAGTGGACTACAGGTATATCGAAGTGTTAAAGTACCTATACCAAAACGCCACTATGTCGGTCCGAGTACAGAATCAGAGCTCTAATCCTATCCAACTACAGCGAGGGGTGAGACAGGGAGACGTTATATCTCCGAAACTGTTCACTGCTGCGATGGAGGATATTTTTAAGCTTCTGGACTGGAAAGGACTCGGCATTAACATCAACGGCGAGTACCTGATACACCTTCGATTTGCTGATGACGTAGTCCTAATGGCGGAGACCTTGGAAGACCTGAACACCATGCTCGAGCATCTCAGTGACGCATCCCAGCGAGTGGGTCTTAAGATGAACATGGGCAAGACGAAAATCATGTCCAACGCCCATGTTGCACCCGCTCCAGTTAATGTTGGGAACGTTACACTTGAAGATGTTGACCACTACGTTTACCTAGGACACACAATCCAGTTAGGTAAGTCCAACTTCGAGAAAGAGATCTCTCGTCGAATTCAACTCGGATGGGCAGCGTTCGGGAAGCTGCGGAACATCTTCGCGTCCAAAATACCTCAGTGTCTTAAGACGAAAGTCTTTAACCAGTGTGTGTTGCCAGTGATGACCTATGGCAGTGAGGCGTGGTCGTTTACTATGGGTCTCATAGGACGGCTCAAGGTCGCCCAGCGGGCAATGGAGAGAGCTATGCTTGGTGTTTCCCTGCGTGATAGAGTCAGAAATGACGAGATCCGTAGGAGAACTAAAGTCACCGACATAGCTCGAAGAATAGCCCAGCTGAAGTGGCAGTGGGCGGGACACATAGCGAGGAGAACCGATGGCCGTTGGGGCGGAAAGGTTCTCGAATGGCGACCGCGTGCCGGACGACGCTCAGTGGGAAGGCCCGCTACAAGGTGGACCGACGATCTGGTGAAGGTCGCGGGAAAACGCTGGATGCGGGCAGCGCAGGACCGATCGTTGTGGAGATCCTTGGGGGAGGCCTGTGTCCAGCAGTGGGCGTCGTACGGCTGATATGATGAGGTAAATAATAAAATTCTGCCGTCCTCAAGCTAAATCGCGGCTAAATGACAAAACCAACTTTTGAGATATGGCCAAAAGATGGCGCGTTAACTTTAAATTATTGCTATTTTTATATAACCATTCATCACATAATCCATTTTTAGACTTAAACTATAAAAGATACGAATACTTGTTAAAGACAGATCGATAGAGAATTAAAAACTAGAGATGTAACGACTCGACTTTTCAAACCGGTTCAAACCGGTTTGAGCATGGACCGAGTTGAATCGGTTAACGTCTTCGTAAACCGGTTCTACCGTGGCATTCGTTCGTATCGCGCTGCGCGCATGCGCGCCTGTCAATTCTTGTTTATCCACAAATCGCGTGCGGCTCCTGACGTGCTTTACCGACCCTAATTAAACTTGACCGACCAATACGAACCGACTTACAGCAGCGGATACGGTTAGCGCGCATCGTCAATTTAAATAAAACAGCCATAACCGACTTACCGACCGAACCGAAATGAAACGGACTCTGGTAGATTTGACTGACTTGACGGTGTAATTTTGTTTTCATTATTATGTAATATGCGAAGTAAATGCCCAGCTTCTAAAAAAATAGACCAAATATTATTCCTAAATAGTTGAGTCTCAAAGTTAAGAAGTACGGTTTTATGTAATTAATAGAGTTTATATATTTTTTTGTAATTTTTTAAACACGGTATTACATAGATATTTGTTTATTTTTATTTTGACATTTTTAATTCTGATTATTATTATTTGTTTTCATATTTTAATTGTTATTTTTCAATTACCTTTAAATATTTGCACGATGTAATATCAACAAAATATGTAGAATTAAAAAAAATAGCACCTGTTGTTTCGTAAGTTTCATTCGTCAACTCGTCAAACGGTTCAAACCGGATCAAACCGCGGTTTACTGAAAATTTGGCGGTTCGGTTCGGAAACCGATTTGCATGTATTACTAACCGATCAAACCCGGTTTGTCAAAATTCAAGACCGTAACATCACTAATCACTTTAATAAAAACTGCTTAAGATGCAATTTAAGACTTAAAAATCGACCACATGTCACTTAACCGCACTTCAGTTTCAGGACGGCAGAATTATAGATAACATGGATTGTGTTAAGAAAACTAATAATAAAGTGTTAACTCAAATATATAGTTAACTATTTTATTCAGAGCTTCTGGGCAAATTCAAACGAAAATATTTTAAGGAATTCAAAGAGTATTTTGACGAGCGAAGTAGGGAATAAGGAATCTGGTACAAGACAATCCAATATCAGCCTCTGCGATTTTTTTGATTTTTCTATTTGAATTGCAGCAGAAGGTTTATCGTAACAACTTTAACATTTTGTACTGGACATTATCCATTCAGGCAATATGGTTTCCTTATGAAAGAAGAAAGAAAACATTTTATCAGCCTTCACAGCATGAATATCGAACACAAAATGGTTATAATAATAAAATATAGACAATATAAAAAACATGGGAACTAATTATTAGGTTCGTGCCGTGTAAGGCCAATAGCACGCTGACTCAGCTATTCTATGTTGTAAACGCATTTGCGATACCACATTAACGCTGATTTTCAGCCAGCGCCTTATGGCAAAGGTGATTTCGAATGCCGGAATAAAGCGAAATAAAAAAACACAGAACGTAGGTAGGTAATTATACGTATATCAGTATACTTTTCTAATCAGGGACTCTCATACACTAAACTTTAATGCCGGCGCTCCACACAGCCACCCGTGTCCGCTACCCATATACCCAACAACAGTTCCTCTCCCTATCACTCCCCATAACGACCGATAAGGACAGCCTACTGTCCAACCCAAATGACACATCGCAAGCAAGAGTGACTGTGCTGAGCGCTAGCACAAGAAAGTTAAAACTTTTTTTTATTACTAGCTGTTACCCGTGGCTTATTATGGATAATTTCCCGCAGTAAAACTGTGTTAATCCAGGGTGTCAGCTAACTCCATACCAAATCATATTAAAATCGCAGTAACAAACATACACACTAACACACTCACAACCTTTCACCTTTATAATATTAGTGTGATAATGTTATGTGCGAAAGCTTATAGCTGCACATCCCTAGCCAGCTAATAATACTGGACCACGTCCAACACCCCTGCCCAGGACGCAACTTTTTGCATGACGCTTCAATTCTGACATAAAATGTATGAAGTTCATGTCAAAAATGTTCATATTTATGAAAAAAATAGGTTCTCCTAATTGTAAAATTTATGGTACATTCGATGACGTCACATGCTTGTAGAGTGTACTAAGAAGTATAACAATAAGGCAATGTAATTATTTCAAAAAAAAAATATACAAACGTGTTCGGTGTAGGGAAGATCGGCAGATCCGCAGTCGGAAGTATTCAAAAGCCTTATAAATATGTTTTGCAGCAATGACTCTTCATTGTTTTTATAATAATTTTGTAATTTATTAAGTTAGGATTCAATGGGGCTGGTATATCGTCTATATTGGATAAAATCCTCTTAATAAATAAGATTGGAAAAAATAACAATCATAAACTCTTAAACGAAAACAATGACACTTTTAAGTACTATACTAATAAATAAACAAAATTTACTATCCCATTTTTATCCAATTTTCCAGAACGTGAAGACGAACTCATAAAGAATCGTACTAAATGCACTGAACACAATCAGATATTGGCTCACATACGGGAGAAGATGCACCACACAGACGAGGTGATCGATTTCACTGATGCTGACCTGGGAGACGCCGAGATTGAATATCTTCAAGCGAGAGAGAATCTTGGACAAGTGAAGGTTGGTCACTGAATATTAACAGTTTCTCATACTGTAATTGAAACTGTGTTCTTTATCCAACGGCCACATTGTCGAGCTATCGTGAATATTTTCCGTTTTCACGACAAATCGGGCCAAGCAATAGTCACATTTCAGAACACGGTCGGATATGTGACTATTGATTGGTTACATGCATCGTGAAAACGGCATAGTGTAACCCCAGCATTATAAAAAAAAAACACATCAATAATTTCGGGCCAAACTTAGTGGAGCTGGTACTATTTAACGAATCATAATCAAACACATAACTTTGATAACTCCTTCAAACAGGAGTTTTTTTTATTTGCGAAATAGTCACTGTCGCATCAGTTACCTTCGTGTCTGGACTTCACCAGCACTAAAAATCATACTTATAAAAATCATACTTAAGTAAAATAATATATTATGTCATTGAGAAGGTGGCAGGTCATAGCTGGAGCTTGATCTTATTAAATATTGTCACCTGTGATCTCAGATTACTATATGATTAAAGCAAATATCAATCGAAAGAAACGAAATCTCACAGTAATTTGAGTGGAAAGGAGCTTGGGCAAACTCGTCACAACTACACAAAAACCTGTTAATTAAATGGAGTAGTACTAAAGCAAAATGTAATTCACTACAGGGCTATAGTACTGGTGTGAATCAGGACAGGAAACTCATCTCGCAGCGTGTGGCCGACCACTTCCATCCTCGCAATGTTATTAAAGCGAGAGGCTGCATATTAGACGATGACTTGGTTTTCTTTTGTTTCGAATTGGCCTCACCCGCAATAATTGGAGAAAAGGGTTACCTATATATACCTATACCCCTTACAGGATAGACATATTTATGCAGTCGTGCACTTTTTTACTTCTGAAGACGAGTAATTCCTCGTACATGATATGCAACGGAAGCTATGACTTGAAATATATTTTCCGTTTTTGCAACATTTTTCATTGAAGCTCTGCTTGTAGGTATTGGATTCGTCAATAACTTTCGTCGAAAAATGGACTGTCCAACAGAAATAGAATAAAATGATGAATTGATTTGATTTGAAAAATCCTTTTTTTTTAATCAGACCAGTATTTCCTTAGATAAGGGCGTTCAACCAAACAAACTCTTCAGCTTTATAAAAAAATGTTTAAATAAATAAGTAAATATTTCCAACACTCACACCAATTAGCCTAGCCCCAAAGTAAGCACTGTAAGGCTTGTGTTATGGGATGCTAGGGTAACGGATAGAATACATATACTGTACATATATAAATATATTTATTCGTATTAAATATCCATGACTGGAGTACAAATGATCGTATTCATCACACAAACATCTGCCCCCACCGGGATTCGAACCCGGGACCTTTCGAGTCGGCAACATCATGAAACCCGGCGTACAAACCACTTGGCCACGGAGGTCGTCAAAATTAAATGACTTGATTGAGTTGATTGTCTTTTGTTTCGAATATCTCAGGGTCGGCGCGATAGATTACGGTGGTCACTCGAGGTGGAACGAATGAAAGCGGGTCTTTTGACCAGAAAAGACTTGTTGCGCGACTTTCAAGATGCAAGTGACAAGGTAAGTATTCTGAAAATTTATAGTATCAGTTAGTGAAAACTAACATAGTAAAGTTGCTGAAATAATTAGAACTGTTTTGAAGATGTTCTTTGTGTATTTTGAATCACCATAGTTAATCTACACATTAACAGTTTTATCACAGTATACTATGTAACTTAAAATATACTGTGGTTTTGTTTTCTAATATTATTTTACAAAAATACTTAACAATTATAAAAGCGGCGCAAAATCATGTTTTGCTACAAGACAATTCAGTAAGTTACATCGGCGTTCGTTTGTAAATATAAGATATTTGAAAACCAATTTACAGCAAATGTAATGTTCTGAAAAATCTATCAGTTTAGCGCATAAAAGTAAAGGTAAGTACTAGTTTATGTATGTAATATTTTAACAGAAATCAGTATAAGTTTGCTTCCAATATTAGGGTTTTGCTAAGGACATAAATGCCTCCGTTGGTCGCTAAGACAAGAGCGTTCATGCCATTTTAAACGGACATCCACTGAAACTACGAGCACAAAATAGATAGTACAGAGGGTAATCTACATACACAGTGCACTCGAGCAACGCACACACAGACACCGCTCACGGACACGATATCTCGGACCGCTTAGTGCGAGCGCGAGTTCCATGCGCTTGAGACACGCGTCTGTGAACTTTTTTGTGCAAATATGGAGTAACAAAAAAATTGCTATTATAACTGTTCAGTGGACGGTTTTCTGAATTCAATATTAAATAGTGAGCAGTCGTTTGTTTTAATAATTATGTACCTAATACAACAATAACAATAAAATATTGAAATGCTTTAGTTACCTATATTGATTTATATTTCCATTGTTCCTGTTTTATTCTTAACAATAAATCAAACGACCACGATTTATTGTGCACAAACTAAAGCTGATAATTCAAGCGCGACAGCCAGCGTAGGTAGGAAAAATGAAGTACATACATGGAATTACCTTCTGCACTATCTATTTTGTACTACGAGCAAGTAATTAATTAATGACGAGTCATTGAGCATCTAATGCTGCGTACAGATTACTGAAATGTCACGTTCAACGCAATTTATGTTGCAATACGAGTTTTACTAAACTTGTCACCACAACATCGAGTTTACAATGTTGTTTTTAAGTTCGATAACAAATTGTTACTTTGTGGATGACTTGGACTAGATTAAATCTGGTCTTTGATGTAACTTTATTTTCATAATCTACAATAAAGTAATACAGGGCGTCCCACGGCTACCTCACACGGAGGGAAAGTATATTAAATATTGAAGATAGGATATTTTAGTGAATGAACACATAATTTTATTTTTAATGATAACAAAAACTGTATTCACAGATTTTTCAAAAATCGCATGCCCATCCATATACTGTCAGGATAAGGTTTGTATAAAAAACAATAATAAAAACGGCCAAGTACGTGTCATGCCACGCGCAGTGTAGGGTTCCGTAGTTGCATGTAGTTACCACAATATATTTGAACACGAGTCTATTTGTCGGTATCTGAAATTTAAAAATCAGTGAATATCAATCATCAATCAGATACATAATCTTAACTAAAATACTAAATGCGTCTCAAACTGAATTCCATATTTTATACTGTAACCGGCGATATTTTTTTTTGAACGGGTGTGAATACTCTACAGCCAGCTGCAAGGTTATTACAGACTCTTACTGACTAAAAAACTTTATTGCCAAAAGGGCCTTACAAGCTTTTTCTGAAGCGATCATCCCCGGAGAAGGGGGAGAGGGGGGGGGAGAAAGGGATGCGGTATAACCGCCGATCTTTTCAAGTGCTTATATAGTTTTTATAAAAACGTATCGTAAGCGCGACTCAGAAGTCCTTGGCCTTTGTACTCGCGGTAGCGTTGTGGAACGAATGATATTTTATTGTGGTATTAAAATAGTGTTTTTAGTTATAATTTTAATTTTAAAAGCATGTTTTTTTTAGATTATGTTGCAATATAAGGTTTTACGCTACAATAACTTCACGTATGTCACTATTAATGTTTTCTTCTTAGGATTTTCTATAGGTAACAAAACTTCTATAGCCAAAGTTGAACGACTACTACTCCTAAACTAACAAATCTCTTCTCCGTTATAATTTTCTTTAAAAGTTCATGAAAATCACTATTATCATGGACTCAATAATTTTTGCAGGTTTTTCAAGCCATTAGTTTAGCTTTTAGAAGGGGGAGACGCCCTACTCGAACAAAAATTAACACTTTTAGTTCAGTTCAATATTTCGCAAACGGATCTCTAAATCAAAAAATAGTCTTAGGAACCCGTAAGTAATTTTAAAGGACCTATTCAACGATACCCTATATGATGGAGTACACGATAAAAAAATGTATCCCCAGGTTACACGTAGGAGCTCCCCTACACGTAACCTGGGGATGATTTTTTTCCTAAAAAAAATATTTTCAAAATTTTATTCTACCATTTTGTCGGCGTGATCGATATACATATCTTCACAGAATTACTGCTCTCTAGTGCTAATAGTCTCCAATAAAACCAGGGTCGGATAGACAGACGGACATGACGAAATTATAAGGGTTTCTTGTCAGAACTACGGAACCCTTAAAAGTACAGTTTTTTTGTAATCACATAATATGAAAAGTAAATAACTGAATGAGACAGAAAACTGTGAGAGATATATAACAGTATTGATAATACATTAATAGCGGGTATAAAAAGATAAACAAGTTTTTTAGGAATTTCAAAATTTTTCACGTAATAATATATGGCTTCACGAAATTTGTCAGGTCGGCTAATTTTCAATATTTCTCTAACTTCAACACATAGATTTTATACAAGTTTACGTGTATCTCAACCGCCGAATCCATCCAATGCTTTTGTATAAAACTTTTGCAAGTTTAAATCAAAGAGAAACTGCTGGAAATAGTTTCTTTACCTTAATAGCCTGCACAGACGAGTGACTTTCGTCCGCGGGCTTTTTTGACCACCAAAATAGATCGCTTGCAACTGCATCGAGTAACACACACGAGTTGTTAAATGTCCCGCTTACCAAAATGTCTTCCGAACAACCAAGGGCGCCGAGAGATTGGATACCCCACAGCGAACTTTAGTTCGCATTGCGCGCTCGATTTAAAGGGATGATTCCAGTATCCTCTTTTAAAAACGTGTTCTCTTTTTCTTAAACTTCATGTTAATTACAATACAACGTAATCTGAGAACATTTACTTCCTTATGTGCGGTTTTTTTTTATTTTTAGGTGTCATAAGTTCGCACTTTGTGTGCGTTGAGTACGTGACAAGTCCTCAGCGGACATTTTTTCACGATTCAGGGACTTTTGTGCCGAGTCTGCGTGGGCTAAAACTGTTTGAAAAAGAAACTGCTTTGCTTCTTGGAAAGCTGGTTCTACACCAGCCACACTAAACAATAGTGTAATAATGTGTTAAGTTCGTCACCGTGTTTGATAACGAAAAGGGCCATATATTTTTTTTCAGATAGGAAAATCCAGTATGTAGTTGCTTTAGAAAAATATTAATTGTTTATTATTATAATAGTAAATGTGATTTTTTATTTATTTTGTACAGGTGGTGAGCCTGCGCGAAAGAAAAAGGCAACTAGAACAAGAAATTGCTGAAATGACGCTTGAATTAAGGGAAGCTCGTAGGCGCATTCAATTTCATCATGCGAATCATACACAAAGCTCTATGATTCTCGCAAAGCAATGAGAACCATAGTGTGCCTAGTGATATACCGAAATACAATGCCCTTAACTCATAATTATTGGGTTAAACTAGCAACTTTTCCAATACAAATACAAAAAAGGGAAAAAACTCATGTATGTTTTGGAACTAACTTTGTTATGTTACGATACAAAAACGCTATATAAATGCAGTGGGCAGTCTCAAAAATTGCGCTCTTTACGACTTTTACTTATATTTTGTGAACTACTTCTGGTATGTGATCGTTAAAATAACGATTGTTATTTGTAAATCTACTGTACCTTGTTTAAATTGTGTTTATTAATGTACTTATTCTATTTATAATGAAATGTATTTTATTTATTTCTTTTAGTATGTACTATCAAAAAAAATTAAGATTGATCATAACTTACTTGTCCCATAATTCGCTTAAAAATGTCATACCAGACAAGTTTAATTGTGGAAATAATTAGCGCTTAGAACCTTCTAATAACAAGTTTTCTTGTGGAAATAATGAGCACTTCGGATCATTAAAATTTGACCTTTGTTTTCAATGGAATAGATCATCTTATACAGGCGTATAAGGCCACGCCATGGCCGGTGAGAAGTCCGGATTTGATGCCATTCTACTTTTATCTTTGGAGTCACATGAAGGTCTTAGTGTATGTTACACCAGTGACATCCATTGATGAGAGATATTGGCAGCTGCCGGACAAATAAAAACCTCCCTTTCAACGCGAGTGACAGTGAGTAAAGTACGTCATAGGCTCCGTGCTTGCATACCGAATGGTAGGCAATTTGAACAGGATTTATTTTTGTTTTTTTTTAAGATACGATTTTTTTAAACCACACTAAACTTTATCAATTAACATTGAATTTTAATCACAGTGGAGAGATATTGTCTTTTCGATCTGAATTTACTTTACAAATCAAAATGAAAAGTTTGCCCTGCAGTGCCCTCTTGCTGATTTTAATAAAAACAGCTTATAAAGTTAATAACTTTTGTACCTTGTTGGAAAGCTTATGAAACTAGCTGTCATTTTAATAATTTTTACGCCAAATTCCATACTCCATACGTAATTATTTTCCAATAATTTACGGGGAAATTCGGAAAAAATATAAATATTGCTACTAAAGTCCTTTTATTTCTAAGCTTGTGTAAGTTTTAGGCGTATTTTTTTTTAATTATTACTAATTTTGCAGCTTTCAGAAAAATATCAAAATAATGTTTAAAGTGGAGTGGTTTATTCACAATTAATAGTTTTTGGCAGCATGTCAGGAAAGTTCTAAAAAATTTAATAACCGTCACAACTCGGTAACCATCCAGTTTTGACCCTTGTTACATTATTTTTTTGCTAATAATCACTTGTATAACCCCTTTCAAGGAATAGGTCGAGTTTTTCTGTCACCCTGTACAAAAAATTTGAATAGTGATATGATTTTCAAAATCACTTTTAAAATCGTAGACGTAACAGGAACTCTTTTGATTTGTTGATATTAAAATCATCTGTTAACTAATAGGGAAATCCTTAGTCCATGGGCAAATCTCTCAAATAATGTAACATCAACACGTCGAGCTCATACCTTTATTTCACAGGGAAGCGGTAAAATGTGTCACGTCAAATATGATTGTACAGAAAATTACGTTACAAGTTTGTTTACCGGGATACGTAAATTTAAGCGAAAGTCTACTTTATTGTTTTGCAATGGTTGTAAAAAAATTAACTTATGGTGGGTCAGGAATCAAATTGGATGGTATTATTTGGTTTGGAAACCCACATTTATGGTACCAAATACGTAATTAAGCAGCTTACATTGTAAAACAATAAATAAAAATACAATCTTTCGGTTAGGTCGGGTAGGATCGTCCCGTTTTATTTAAATAAAAAAGCTTTTAGTAGACTTCTGAATTCTTCTTTAAGTAATTGCAGTGCTATTCTGTAAGAAAAAAGGCACAGTGTCATTTGAAATTGTTTTAATTTAAAATCACTTCGCGGATCCCAAGGTGAAAGTGAGTTTGTTCTTAGTCCGACTACTCACGTTCCTGCCACAGGGGCAATCCAGGGCTTAAGAGTGGGGATGACTCTTAGTTGCCTCCTTAAATGTGATGCGTGTAGGCAAGCAAGGGCAAATTCCTACATTTGAATTGCCCCTGCCCATCCTCACTCTTATACCTTAGATTGCCCCTGCAGCAGGAATGTGAGTAGCCGGTCTTTAAGAATATCACTGCTGAAAAGTATTAATATCAAAAAGAGAGATATAAAAAACGTATTATGGAAAAATCTAAATAGGGTAACAGCACCAGTGGCCAGCCAGGAACCAGTGGTCAACCTTTTGCGTCGTTTATTGTTCATAAATATCGCTACAATTAGATTAAACGAAGCACGTGTACTTAAATACAAACTTTGATTCCTCATTGGTTAATATGTCACACGATAGATGCGGCAGGGGATCAGGGGAGAGAAATAAACTCATTCATACAGGAGACGGCGGTTGAAAAGAGCAGTAGTGTCATGTCCGCCATATTTTTTACTTCGGGTGGTGTTCTCTTAAAAGGTAAGAAAAAACATGTTTTAATAAAGAATGTGATAGTCTTTTATGCAATTTGGCTTTATGTATTACTTCATGTATTGAATAATATTAAATTTGGATATCGCTGATTTACGTAAATATTGTGGGGGCTGACCATTGGGTACTACTTTTTTACAAAAGATCCATTGGTCGGCCCTCCGGGGCTGTTCACTGGGTTCTTGAATTATTTTTAATATTGCGAGTAAAGGCGGTCATTAGAACCATTAAATTTAAATTTTCAAATTTAGTAAGGCATGTTCTTTCGTATTGCTCAAAAATCCAGTGGTCAGCCGCATCAAACATTTTATATTTACGCGGCTGGCCACTACGTATCTTCCAGAGAAACTCTCTTCTGCCATGGAAGCCATACGAAACGGAATGCCGATAGGAGAGGCAAGTAGAACGTTTGTAGTGCCTCGAGGCACACTACAAGATCGGCTCCATCTTCGTGTCCCAGAAAGCCAAGAAAAATGGGTACAGATTCCAATTTAAATAAAGCAGAAGAAGCTGCACTGGTGGATGGTGTAAAAAATTAACAAAATGTGGGTTTCCCTTAAAGACTGACAATTTATTAAATACGGTCCAAGCAATAAAGGCTGACGGAAGACCTAATCCTTTCGAAATGACAGACTAGGAGAAAATGGCTTAAATCCTTTTTTTTATTGTAAGAATAGTTTTTACTTAGTAGGTACTATTAGTAGATTTGCTAGTGACCTATTTCTCTTTCGTATTATGTGTATTAAACCCGAGAGGAATATTTACATAATGTATAAGTATGCATATATACTAATGTTGTTGATTTTCATATAAAAAATATTGATGTTTTTATGATAGAGTTCTAGAAAATAAGAACACAAATAAGTACTGTGATTGTTTGCTTGCAATAATATTTCGGTCAGGTGAGATTTCTTTTTTGTTTTGATAATTTAGCTATAAGAAATAAAAGAGACCTAAATAATATCGTAGATTTTGATATAAATAATGCTCATTTTAAACTCATGCTTATACATAGTTATAAGGGCTGAATACTTGGTTCATCGAGACTGATTATTTGATTTTAGAGGCTGACCACTGGTAAAAAAAGCCATTTATTGATTGTTTTTAAATATATATTTTATTAGGATTGTTTTTAAAAACTATAAAAAACAATTAACCCAATCATGTACTACGTTACATTATCCGACGAATCTTGTAAAAATGACAGCTTTCCAAACTACAAAAAGTCGTTATGAGTCTGACCACTGGTGCCACTACCTATCAAATTGGGTACCTATTCTTACACCGTCTTATTAATAAACGTAGACTAAAACAAGAGTAACTCTACTCAAAGTAGTAAATTCTAGTATTCTCAAATTTTAGTATTAATAAACATGGAGTAAGACCAGAATAATCATATTTGTCTCTACTCCCGGATTAAAAGTTAAGGGGTACCTTGTTTAGCGAATGAACATTGACTGAGTATAATGGTTAAAAGTTTAACTCGAAACCCCAATGCGTTACCGTGATAATCGCTCTAGACATACCTTTTTTTCTTTTTGAGGTACGGAACCATAAAACGTGGCAAGGGTTTCTATAAAGCAACTACCTATAACTAGCATAATTCCTCAAGTTCCTGTGGGGTCAATCTACTTGTTTATTAGAGGGCCACGCCGAGAGCGATACGAAACTGACTTTGATATCTAAAGAAATGTATCATAAAAAACACGGCCCAAGTATCATGCAGGTTTCAACCGCTACGCTACCAAGACCTTAATGAACATGTCGAATTTATTCTAGCAATTATTAGGAGGAGCTCCATGGTGTACATGTTTTTTTTTGTTTGAGTACTAACTTTCTTCAGACTTTTGAATGAATCTTTTTTATCTTATTTTGTTTTATTTAAACTATATTATTATTTGTTAATTAAGTTTATTTTTTGGTACTATTTTTGCGTTTTGTTTCGTTCAATTACAAATTTTATTTATTTTGCTGTAAATTATTGAAAATTTTAATATTTCAGTTTAAATCTATGAGAGTATGTGCGAAAGCTCCGTGTCGAGTGAAAGCTTGACTATTTCCCTGCTCCGTTTTTCTAACGATTATATATACATCACGGACATCCGGAAGGAAGAGTTTTATTGGTGACGCTGTTGTTTGGTTGTTATACCTGTTTTGCCAAGCTAAATTCTCTCTTCGCGGAGGTAGTTTTTTATGTATGATATAGGGCACCTGTCGTAACATGGGGCCGTTCTTGTGAGCGGCTTCTTTGGCCAGCTGATTAGCTCTTTCATTGCCTTCTGTTCCGACATCTGCTCTTATGCAGTAAAATCATATATTTTGTATGTTTGTTTAGTTAGCACTTTTATATTTTCTTTAATTGATATATCTAAGATTCCATGATAGAAGACTCGAAATAATTAGTACTGATTTTAGAAAAATTGTGCAGTACCATTTACAAAATTTCTGTTCAAATCCTCTCTGAACTATATAAAGCTGTTTCTGTGTTATAATCTTGTCTGCCACCGGTGCCCATACACTTTTGGCATACAATATCACTGGTTCGATAACTGCCAAGTAAATTGTCCGCACCACTTCCGGGTTTAATCTCCATGTAGCTTTTGCAGTTTTAGCCAGTTGTTCGTCAATATTTATCGCATATTTGCAGGTATTTGTCACATGGGGCCTAATATTTTTATTTGTGTAGCCCCATTTTTATGCACGGGATCCCATATTTAAGTTTTTGGTGAACGTAGCGTGAGTCTTGGCATGTGCAAACTTTAATT